TCATCGTCAAACCTAGACCCTTAGCAGATGGACGAGCAGTGTGATAGGACAGTGAGCTTTGATTTAAAAGGCAGGAAAGAACTCTCCTTCCCCAGCCAGCTAAGTGCAGGTGCTCTTCATGCAAACAGCAAACCTGGCCTCTGACCAGCCACACTACAGCAATGAGAAGTCCCACAACAGCAACTCTTCCTGCCTGCAGCTTTCCTATGGATAAACCCCAAAGCTGTTACCATCCCTCATCTTCAGCAGACTCTGGCATCCTCAAGAATTGGAAGAACAAAATGCTGGCAGCAGATGGCCTAGATTTCCTCAAACTTCTTGCTTGTATAAGTTGAAACTACACATAGAAACGGAGGAGGAACTCATTCTGTTTTTAAGAGGTAGAGTAGGCATTCCAAGCAAGCCTCCTTTATCTCATGGTCCAGGCAGGCTCTTGCCATGATACCACACTATTTTTCAAGAGGCAGTAAAACATGTGATAACTATCCATTCATCTCACTAGCACAGAACTGTGGTTACTATTCTCATCAGAATATAATTCTTTATTTATGTTGACCCAATTTTTGAAATATTTTTCCTAATTATGATACACAATGTAATTGCTGTTGAAAGACACCTGAAGGTAGACAATAAGGATATTGTCCTCTTGATGCTTACGGTGATAATTTCAAATAAAAGATAAATCTACCTGCCTACTGTTTCTCTCGGGCAAATTGCAAATGTTTCATATTTGTGAATCAATTAGCAGTGGTGATCTGAGGTGGTACCTTATAGATTTGCCTCAATATCTCTAAGTGGTTAGCCCTGGTCTGTAGTTAATTTTTCTATTTCAACAGCTGTAAACCACTGTCCAAAGCCTTAACTGAATATACAAAATAACCAGAGAATTCACAGTGGCCACACCAAGAGATGACAGAGAATGCAGAAGGAATAATATGCCATGTTGTGTTGGAAGAAAATGCAGCAGGCAGCCTGACAACAGAATTCCTGGTTGGGAAAGATCTTCCCTCCAGTGTCAAGCACAGCACCTCATGGAAAGTGCCACATGGTCACCATTCAGTGTAGGAACTGCTTACAAAGGTAATGAAGTTATTTGTGGCCTTTGTTCAGGACGAGTTTCTGCTTTATGAGTAGAAGGTATTTCAGTATGCACATGAATACAAACACATGCACACATATGGTGATGTGGGATTCCCATCTGTTTGCTGTGAATACCATTAGTTAATAAAGAAAATGTTTTGGGCCTGCACAGGGAATAGAGGTAGGTGGGAAAAACTAAACTGAATGCTGGGAGAAAGGAGGGGGAGCTGGGGAGAAGCCATGTAGCGCCTCTAGAGACAGACATACTGAAACTTTTTCGGTAAGCCACAGCCACGTGGCGGTACACAGAAATGTACTGTACTAGAAATGCGTTAAATTAATATGTAAGAGCTATTCAATAAGAAGCTAGAGCTAATGGACCAAGAAGTGATTTAATAAATCCAGTGTCTGTGTGGTTATTTAGGGTCTAAGCTGTCAAGCAGCTGTGAAACAAACAAGTGACTCCTCTTACAACAACACACAGGCATCGTTTTCTGTTGCAATGTGTTCATCTTAGACTCTAAAAACTCCATTTCCAATATCTGATCCCGAGAAATTAAGTGTGTGACCGCTGTACATAATACTATCCCATCACTGGCATTGCTAGAAGATGGCAGGAGGATCAGATGTGAACAAAAAGCTATGATGACTCTGCACCATTGCTCACTCAGGAGTTACAGGCTCCTTGTTGCCTTTCAGGGTCACAAAATTATGACAGAATGCTATTGCTCACAGCAGCAGTGAACTTTGACACCTCCCCACCCACTTCTTCCCACTCACTTCACAGGTATCTTAAAGAAAATAAAGTATTGATATTGGCCTCTTCTCATAGGACCAAGGGCCTTTTATAGTATCTCTCAATTGTGAAAGGCAAGCACAGGTTGCTTTACTTCTTGGGCACATACTGAACTTGTTTACCTGGAATATCTGATGCTGTCAAAAGTATTTCAATCTTTTTAGACTCTAGTAATGTCTTGTCGTTTAATGATATAACTTAAATATAAAATTTAACTTGTTTTTAATACACACAAATAAATATTTTCAGAGACACAGATGTAAAAGTAGCTATCAACTGGCCAGCATGGATACTTTTGGATAATGACTCCAAAATTAGCTTGCTTTGAATCATGTCAAAAATACCTATCACCAGGGTTTACTGTATGACTATCACTTTGCTTTATTCTTCAATGATTTTTAAACTTGATCAACCCTTGTGCAATGTAGAATACCAAAAACAGTCATTTTGGAGTTTTGACTGTTAAACTATGGCAAATGTTATGACTAATATTGTATGAGAATTAGTAAAGTCTCAATAACCATTAATAAAGCCAAATATTAACATCTCTACTTTATTCAAATTGGTGATTTATGAATATTTTAATAAGTACAGTTCTTATACATTTAATAAGCACAGTTCTCATGCATTCTTTAGGCTAATAATTATATCCAACATTTTAGGCATGTTTTGAACATAAGGTAACAATAAACTTTTTCAGCTTTGATTATTTTCATTTGAAAGTATTCAGAATAAGTCAAATTGCCACAGTTAAGTCACTTTGATAGCTTCATAATATAATCTGATTTGTGCCCTTACACTGTGGAAAATGTGTTTTTGTACCAGGTTTAAAGCAACGTTGTCTTTTGAAATTCAAAATCTGACTTAATTTTTCATTTAATTCCTTTAGTCAACAAATAATAAAACAAATTATTGACTTTGTTTTCAAAAATGTGTCTATCCAACTCTGCACATTTTTAATGAATATATTTTGACATTTTCCTATTAGATATAAACTTAATATTGAATAGTAGCTCTGACATAGGAATTAAATGATTGACAGACATCAACTGTTTCTAACTCTTATTGACGTGTGAGAGTTGCCCTTAACACCTGTGTTTCTAAGATTGTTGGAATATATACGAACGTTTGCCAAGCATTTGTTCCAGGAGCCGACAGAACACTAAGCGAGCAGCCAAGTGGTTTATTTCTAGTCATCTTCGTTCTAAAACAGTCATGCTAATAACAAGATAATTCAAAAAATACTACAATCATTATTTGCAACAAATGTGGTCTCATAAATCTATTGTAGAAGCAGAATATAACTGATATAAGTAACTAAATAGATATACTCGTGCCCTGGAAAAGAAGAAATATATAAGTATATATGTAGTATATTATTTATCTATATATAGACAGATAGAGATATATATTTTTTCATTTTCTGGGTGAAATCTATTCAAGTTTATATCCTGATGACAAGTTTCAAGTTCTTTCTGTTGCTTGTTAATTTATAAATCAGGGTGACAATATCACAGCTCATTATATATTTCAATTGGCTCCATCAATGGGTCAGTTTTGTTGTTTATCTTAATAGAGTTTAAATAAGATTAGCTTGACAAATATTAGTAATGGCATTAGATGGATTGCTAGATGAGCTTGTTATGAAGCATAGATTTTTAAAAGTAAAATTACCTTTTCTAATAATTAAACCAATTTTGTCCATTTACTTTATTCTAGCTTTGGGGCTGTGGATGGATCCCCTGGTCTGGAGCATACAAGGCAAACATGATACCATGTAGCCACGCTTCCAGCACTAAATGAATAGGTGTTTAAAAAAAAGTATTATAACAGGTGCAAAGATGGCTAAGAGATTAAGACACTGGCTGCTCTTCCAGAGGTCCTGAGTTTAACTTCCAGCACCCACATGGTGGTTTACAACCATCTATAATGAGATCTGGTGCCCTTTTCTGGTGTGCAGACTTATATGCAGGCAGAATACTCTGTACATAAATAAATAAATCTTTTTAAAAAGTATTATACACCAATAGAGAAAATTCTTTATTTTTAAAAAAGGCATATTTTATTATTATTGTTGTTCATTTGTATGTGAATGTATGCCCCGTGTGTGTATGGGGGGGGTGCCACAGAGAACAGAGGGGTCAGACCTTCCTGGATCTGGAGTCACAAACAGTTGTGAGCCACCTGATATGGGTGCTGGGAACAGAACTCAAGTCCTGTGTAAGAGCAGTATTGCATCTTAATTGCTGAGTCATCTTTCTAACTCTGCTACTTTCCTTCTTATTGCAACATTAATGAAACATAGGTAACATTGTCAAATATCTAGAGGAATCCAAGTCGCCATTACTGATTTCTGTTATTGGGGTATGAGTATGTTTGAACTTATGTATTCAGTGACACATTATTTGATTTAATAGTGTCAAATGTAGACTTTCATTATATTAGAATAGTTATGAGATACTTTAGAAGATTTTTTTTTGTTCTTGTTTAAATGAGTATACCCTTGAGGGGGGACATGTTGCGGGCACGTTCAGAGGAGTGAAAATGAAATTTTCTGAGAGCAGCGTATAAATGCTTGCTGTAGGTAACCTGAAGCACACTGGACAGCCCGCAGAAGGCTGTCTGTTCTCTCTTGGCTACACAGCTAGAAGCAATCTGGAGACCTATTTAGTTAAACACACAGTTTGCACCCAAAGGCAACCCTTGACTCTTCCAGTGTCTAGTAAGCTTTCTTTAAGACACTGTGGTTTTTTTTTTCTGTTCTTATTCTAGCTCAATGCATTCAAAACTCAACTTTGTTAGTATGCACACAATAAATGCAAATCTAAAATGCATCAGAATTTTAATAATGAAAAGTGGGATCCACCCGTCCAGAAATGTGGTGCTGGTGAAAAGAAACAGATTTATTTTCAAAACACAGAGGCGTCTAATAAACCTTGATTTCTATTGATACCTTTATAAGTATATGGGAAATTGATTATCCAATAGGAATAACCTAATTGCTTTTGTTAACAACAACAAATAATATCTCCAACTGTGTATGAACATCGAGAAAAGAGGGAGATAGAAGTAATTCCAGCTCTGTCATCACAATCCAGTTCCCAGCATAAGCTCCAAGCAAAACTCCGCAAGTGCATATGCAAATGCTTCCCACAGCTCCTCCCTACAAGGGCAGGGCTGCTCCTTCATTTGCCTTGCTTTAAAAAAGACAAGAGTAAGCCAAAGAATGATAAAGGCACCATATAGGCAATCCCAGCGTTCACATACACATAACGATCTCAAGCTTTTAAAAGCAATTTTTTTTCCTTATCAAAACTGTTCCCGAGCACAGATTTGCTACCCTTCGAAATGTTATAAAAATGAATTTTATAAGAGTCAGTGAAGTCCCTTTGGCGTCAGTGGAGGGAAGGTATTAAAATACAAATGCTCATCAATATACCTGGAAACGTAAGGGATTTTGTGCTTTCATCCCCCAGGTAATAACTGGCGAAGAATCACCATAGAGCGTTACATTTTTAGGAAGAAACGAAACAGCAAAGTCTCTCCTGCAGTCGAATTGTGTTCTGATAAGGACATGGAGTGGGGCAATTTGTGTGTCACCGTAGAAACTCTGAATCAGGGAGCATGCACCTGTTTACAGCCTTACCTCAATGATTTTGTCATGAACCTCCAGCCCATCTGCTCTGTCTGCAGGTCCATTTTCTAAAATTTTCGAAACATAAATTCCTTCAGTCGCTGATTGTTTCTGGTGATTCTATAGAAAAAGTTGTTAGCAGAAAGAAACACATGAAACAAACTTTAAATTCTGTATTGATAATTTCTTTTTCTCTAACTATAACAGTGGCAATTCTGCTCAAACATGCAACTCTCTTAGCTGGGAATTTGGCACAGAATTAACTCACTTAATGCCAACTTGTCATTAATCAACATGACAGCTATAATGAACAAGTCCGGCATCTCTGACAAGATCATCTATTTACTCTACATTTTGAATTCACACGAAAAGTTTTAGAGAGAGGCACATACAAGGTGAGATCAGCAATGTTACTGTTAAAACCTCTCAAATATAAAGTGATATGGGAGATAGAAAAAGATAGACGTATACAAGGGGAAAGAAATCAAATTTACCCTCAAGTACATAAAGCTTAGATGCAGCCATAGAAAAAAAATTGAAATCATAGCTCTGACTACCTAGGAGACAGCATGATTTTAAATCTAAAATATCAAAATATCAACTCCACATGGCTAAGAGGCCCATTCAAATCCGATCATTACATGGTTCCAGGTGCAAGTTTCACAGGGAGTAAGTAAATCTCAGATATCCAGTCTTTGACTGCACAGCATTTTAGCCAATTATAAGAAACCAATGATCCTGTAAGATCTACTTAGGAAGATGTTTGTCATCATGTAACAGGTTATGCGTTCTTAAGATTCAGTTGATTTTATGGCAGGATAAATAGAATTAACCCTAAACCTTCCCTTTAATTGGCCTGCTTCAACCAGAATAGGAAGTGCTTCTATAAAATGCTCAATGTCAAATTTCCAAGTGGAAATTTCCCCAACAGAAGGGAGAATGAAAATAATACTAAGAAACCCTGTGGTTTTGTAATAACAGGGACTATTTCAGGAGAGAAACAGAAGAGTGGCCTTTAATTGCTGGGTTTGTTGGTTACATAGAAGACATAGGATGGCAAAGGTCACTGACATCCTAAGCCCACCTTAGAGCAGGACAAAAAGTCCTACAACATATGAGTCCTTGAACAGCAGATGGCAGATGAGACAGGAGTGTTTCAGAGTAGTTAACCAGAGTTAAATAAGGTGTTCTTCTTTATTAAATTTCACTGTCTTTGTTCAGTTATGCTCAAAATTAAGGCAGTGTACGATTGCAGGATGTCAAAGGATTTTGTAACTACAGTATGTAAATTCTTAATATGTACTCCAAAAACAAGTAAGTAGGTAAGTATAATAAGTAAGTAGAGAATATTCATCCATTTAAATAAGGAGTTGATTTGGGAAGCACAAAAAAAAAACCGTATTACATCAACTCGTTTCAGTATGAAGTTGCTTAAGAGGGAGGAGGAGGGGAGGAAGAAAACACACACTCACTCGCACGCGCACACACACACACACATACACACCTCACTTTTATCTTATTTAAATTTATTTCAACTCTGCATTCAATATACACTGGCAACTTTTCCAGCCCTGTTTGCTTCTAAAGACTAAGCTGTTGAGAGCAGGAAGTATATGCAGACAAAATACAACTTCATGTAGCAAATGTAAATCATCTACCCAGGTACTCTGCCATTGATTCAAGAACTCTGCCCATGGTGCTATCCCAGAAAGATGGATGAAATGCAAAACACACCCTTTCCTTTATGACTGTGACTAAGAGAATCAAGTTGGTCAACTGTGGGTGATTTATTGTTGCTTTCAAATTCTCTCATAATGAAAATCCAAGTGCGGATGAGAAACTCCACATTAAGAATCTTGTATTTGGGGAGAAGCATCCTTTAAGGGTCACATCACTTGTGTGCCCGACCCATCGCCCACTGCACACACAGAATGCTGTCCTAGCAGAGGAGTCACCTGATTCCGCCTGCCTCCAATTATGTTGAATCCCAAAGCATCGTCTTCTCTTTCTAGCACAACAGTGAGTGACTTCTGTTCTCCACCCTAAGTGAAAAAGGGGAGAAGTGAATAATAATAAAAAAAAAGATACAAGAGAAGATTCACCGCTACAGTAGCATTTTACCATAAATAGAAAGTGTTTTAAGAATGGTTGACTCTATCAAACTTTCTCCCCAAACACAGAAAGCATGTCTTTGAAGGAAACTGCTGAGTGCCTCAGGAGAAAAGGATTTTCCAATTGACTACATGGGACTCGCATTTCACACAGGAGCAAGCATCTCACCTGACTTCACCTTAACCACAAACAGATTTCTGGGATCCACCAGCAAGGCCCTTGATTTTTATCTTTGTGTGACAGAAAAGTAAAATAAACTGCCAGCGGATCTTAGAGCCATTTTTATGTGAATTTTCACCGTGGAAGTGTTGAGCTAGTTTAAAGGTCTCCTCAGCAGAAACAGTCAGGCTGCCCTGCAAGCAGGGTCTACCGGAAGGCAGCTGTCTTAACTTTAAATAATACAGGTTTATCGTCATTCTTACAGAATAAAAATAAAAGAGATTTTGCTCGGCAGAGCGCTGTGTCTTTCTTTCTGGATGGTCCAATAGTATTTAAACAAATAAAAACTATATCTGCCATTTGTTTGTTAGCGAAGACTCATTTCAGCTGGACAAGATGAGCTGTAATTACCACTACAAACATTAACTTCTCCGAGGAACTGAAATACACGGAATTACATCTGACATTGGGGGAAGAAACCTCAGTCCATCCCCACTGCAACCTCAGCCCCCAACACCCACCCCAGGAGTTTTCCCAGAGCCCACAGCAGCCCCTACAGGCTGGTGGGAAGCAATTTTGAGAAGCACCATTAACTGGCAGCATTTGAAAAACAGTCCAGAAAGTATAGCATGAAATAGTGGTGGTGGTGGTGGTGGTGGTGGTGGTGGTGGTGGTGGTGGTGGTGGTGGTTCTCAACCTGTGGGTCGTGGGTCGTGTATCAGATTTCCTGCATAACAGATGTTTACATTACGATTCATAATAGCAGCAAAAATTCCTGTTATGGAGTAGCAATGAAATATTTCTTTTCTTTTTCTTTTTTTTTTTTTGGTTGGGGGTCACCGCATCATGAGGAACTGTATTAAATAAGTGCAGTTTTAGGCAGGTTGAGAACCGCTGGCAGAGAACCACAGCTTGACGGATGCTGAACGTTTTTATCCCATAATTTTAACCCTTGTTCCTTTCCATCAACGTTGAAACCTGAACTGGGGGTGCAAATGGAACCTGTGTATCTTTCTCTAGGTCATTTATCTGAAGATTAACCTATTAACACAAGCAGACTAGCGAACTCATATAGCATCCAGACGTTTTTATTTTTATTCTGTTAACTAACTGCCCATGGAGCTCTGTTATGAAAGGGCGCTTTCAGACAAGTATAATCTGTGTGCTGGGCACAGCTGTCTTCTTAATGCTCCTCCATCAGAGGGACTTATCCCATATTGACTGTATTTCTCAGGCTAGGGGTAGGAAGGTCAAAAACCTAGGGCCAGAACTGGAATCCGAGGGAAGCAGCCAGTCCCCCAAAGGAAGCTCTCTGTTCTCCTTCCCAGGGAGTGCAGAAGAATGGAAAGAGCTCTTTGAAAGAGGGTGCAAGTGAAAACCCTGGTTGCTTTGCCAGCGACCAGTCAGATCAGACACCTGTGCGAATGTACTAAGGAAAAGCTACGGCTGACGAACAAGTCCCTTCACCCCGGGCTGCTGCAGCACGCAGCTCAGGATCAGCCGCTTCTACGAAGTAGGAAAGATTGTTGCTGCCTGGCCACTCATGGGTCCAGTATGACCGCAGGCAAATATGATTGTCCTGGGACAAGTCCCCTTGTCATACATTATGCTCACTCACCACTAATAGGGACATGTGAGGTCAGGAGGGAGGGAGGGATTATGAGGTAAAATCAGGGATGTAAAGAAATCTCACCCTGATTCCATACCACCATCATCCGTTGAGGTCTCTGAACTGAGAAGAGGCCAGTTAAACAAACGATAAGCGTACTTTGGCGGAGAAAATAAGCCATTCACTTAATTGGTTTACTTAGGGAATTTGCTTCAGGCACAGGCCAAGGATACAAAAGATGGGCAGAGATGATGGGTAGGAGAATGGAAGTTGGGGAACACGAATGTGGATGGAAGAAGAGTTTTGTCAGTTCTTCTCCAGGGGAGAATTGAGTTCGACTCCCTTACCCCTAAGCAATGTTTCTGGTCAGAGGTGCAGATGAGGCTAGCAGAGCATAGTCAGGGAGATGTCTCATGCGGCTCTGGGAAAAATGATGGCACCTCCTGAAGGAATCCTAGCCGCTCGGGAATAACTCCCTCTGCCCACCCGAGTCACGCTTGGGGGCCCACTCCCTCTTTGCTTACCCGGCGGCGGCCTCCCGGGTCCCGGACCAAGTTGCGTGTGTGCGCCATGTACCGGGCCAACTTCTCCTGGTACCTACGCTGCAACAAGCCAAGCTGCGTTCGCAGCGTCTTCCCCAAGCGCCTGCAGGGGGCAACCCGAGGCCGATTCCCGGACCCCGGTGACCCCTCACGCTTGTCCACACTTGGGAGGGTCGTGATCTCCTGGTGCCTTTCCTCCTCGCCGCCTCCGCAGCCGCCTGGGTAGTGGCGGCTGCAGCCGCTGGCAGGGCCGAAGGCGCAGCTCTGGACGTGAGCCGCCAGCTCCCGCAGCCGCACGGTGTGGCCGCAGCCCAGAGCACGGTAGTCGCACTGCACTCGCAGCTGCTGGACCAGGCTGCGCAGCGGCAGCACCCGGTAGAGCTCGCCCGGCGCCAGCGGCTGGCACTCCAGCGGGCACCGGCGCCTCCGCGCCGCCCAGGGCAGCAGGCAGCTGGCGCAGAAAACGTGCCCGCAAGGCGTGCACGCGGGCTCCTCCAACACCTGGCTGCACAGCTGGCAATGGAAAGCCGGGTCCACGGCTTCCGCGAAGCGCTCTAAAGCAAAGCCCATGATAGCGGTGGGGAGGAGAAAATCCAAAAGGGGTGTCCGTTTCTTCTTCTAAGCACCCGCAGGCAGCGCCAGGGGTAGCGGTCTCACAGCCGCTGAACTCTGTGGGGAGGTGTGTGTGTGTGATCTCAGAATAAGTTTGGATTGGTGTTTCCAAGTTTTGGCTAGGTTCTCTGACCTCCACATTGACACTAATGGAAGCCACCTGGTTGAATCCCCCCCTACCCCACTCCAGTCTCTGTGGCTTTGCAATGCGAGGTTTTTCAAGTCTATCCTTGAGAAGGAGGCGAGCATACAGTGGTCTTTGGGTCAGCTTTATTTTCCCCCTGAGCCAAGAACTTCAAGTCCTCTGGGGTGTTCTGCCTGGGCAGAGCTAGTGGCCCGCATAGTATTGATATGGAGAAATTTGAAACCTTCCAGAGATGAAAGATTCCAGAGATTATGCTCTTTGTGTCAAATAGATCCTCAATAAATCAATGTTATAAAACAATAAAACAATAATATACTTTGTTTGTTGTTTGTTTCAAACGAGCTAAGTAAAAAATCACCAACTAAGAACTGTGACTCCAAATTAACTTCATGTTTCAAGAAGATCATTTAGGGCTTCTCAGAGCCAGGGCTTTCAAATCAAGATACAGATGTCAGGGTAATGTAGAGAAGAGTAATCTTTGAGCATGTGGAGAGGGTTGGGGGTCTTCAAAACACCTTATTCTTTGTGGGGAGCAGACAGTGAACAGTCAAAGAGGACTCCTGCCGAGTGAAGAGACCCAAGTTTCATCACTGCAGCTTCTCCCAACTTCAATTGTCACACTATTTTCTACTTTAGGACACATACTAGTACTGGGATCGGGATATGAGTTCGGGAAGCAAAATTAAATGGTAATAATCACGAATAAAATATCAGGATAACGTAAAGACAAAACCTGAGCGAAGCCTCTCCGCTCAACCAAAACAGAATCAACCCAAACTGCTCCCTTCCAGTTCGACTGTGTGAGGCCTGCCAGACCTGAAAACACACAATAGAGTTTCCTCCAGGTCCCCTTTTCTTAGGAAACTTAGAGGTGCAAAGAGCCTTCACACCGGGATATATGCACATCGCTTACTGTTCTTACCCAGCAACGATGCCAGATGTTTGGGATAGGGATTCTTAAATTAACCACCCTCAATGCCAACTGTCTGCTGCTCCTGGAAGGGTGTGGAGAGCACCATCGGAAAGGGCTCCAGGCTTCCTGATAACAGCAGAGCTTCTCGCGAGAACCTTCTGAGCCTTCAACGGCCAGTGAAATTCACAAGTGGTGTTGCAGATTGCAGATATCTGAAATAATCTCTCTCTCTCTCTCTCTCTCTCTTTGACAAAGTAAATTGTTATATTGCATGTTCTATGTGAAAATATGATGTTTATTTGCTGCTATGATTCAGTATTCTCCATGTCCATCTTATCGTTCTACAGAGAGGCAAACAATAAATTCCTGAAATAATTTGCAGCATTATTTACAAGAACATGTTTTTTGTGAAATGCATATATAGAAAACACACAATTCTATAAAAGTTATTCAAACAATTCTCAGTGGGAGAAAACTTTCATCTTTTCTAGCATATAATACTCTGATCCTATAGCTATGACTATAGATATATCTTGATATGGATATATCTTGATATATGTTTTACAGTAAACAGAATATGGCCAAAAACATTTAAAAGACAAAGCAAGAAGAGATGGAATCTAAAATGGTCTCATTGGAATACTTAGAAATAGACACTTGCTATTATTAAAAGCAAGCAAACAAACAAACTAACAAAAAAAGTGATGCTTTGACATCATTGGAGGAGTCAATGATGGGAAGGAAGGCTGGGGAAAGCTGGCTCCTGGGCATGGCATATCTATCATACTCTGAACTCATGGCAGCCATGACTACCTGAACAAGACCTTCTGCAGAAGATCAATCCACCCAGAATTCTGGAATAGACTGTGGAGGTGATCTTCACACTCCACCCCTTACCTAAGGACTCCACCCCTTACCTAAGGACTAGGGGCAACTGACAACAACTGGGGGACCTTAAACTTTTAGGATGTTCCCACAGATGGGTACTCCATGCTCTAGGAATTTGCTCTGTACCCACTCACATAACAAGCAGCAACCATTAATTTTAGTGGATTGAAAGGAAGAAGAAAAGTGAGAAGGAGAAAAAGAAGAAAGAAAAGAAAAAAGAAAGATAATGAAGGCATGAGATTTGGATGAATACATGTTGCTGTAGATTCAAGGAGAATTGTAGGAGAAAAATAGAGATGATTAATGATTATTTACATTGTATACCTGTATAAAATTCTCAAGAATAAAGATAAATTATCATTAAAAGAAGCAATTATCTGAGGTAAGCAAAGGACCTCAGAATGAGTTTCATATGCACACACAAATTTCAGCAAAAATAGATCCAGGAACATTTTAATGTCTTTTGGCAAAGGTTCTAATATCATACTTTGGGCATATACTTATGCTTTCATTAATGAACATTTTCTATCGTTTAAGAATATGTAGATAGTGAAATTTGGAGCCTGAATAGTTAGGTGGTAGAAGAACTGAAAATGAAGTCCTTGTTTTCATGTTTGGTTCAGGTAATCTCTAGGTGTATTGCTGCTTGGGGCCAAGACATGCTTTGCCCATAAGCCTTCATTCAGTCTGAAAATGTATTTCTCTAGGTGACAGTCAAAAGAAACAACAGATTCACTCAATATCATGACGTGGATCCAAATACCTGTAAGGAGACCACACTGCTTGTGTATTTTTCAGCTTAGTGACTTGGTTTTAAATGTCACCATTGCACCTTCTATTCTCATGAAAAGAATGTCAGTTTGCCCTTCCACTGATCTTGCTCTTGAACAGCATCGAGAGTGGGCTGGGCCTGGCTGGTTCTTGTGTGGAGAGGCAGGCTTCCAACTCAGGTTAGAGTAAAACCTGCTTTCAAAGAGGAGTAGGGAATCTGGGAATCATAAGTTACTGTGTCAGACCTAGAACGCCTAACATCTAAGCACATTATCCTAAGGCAGATAAGTGAAGTCTGTAGATGAAATGGGAATTAGCTTTTCCCCATTTTGAACACAGAAAATGTTTTTGCTAAACCAACTAATATTTAAAATTTGTTTTGTGGGCTATCTAGGCTTATGCCAACTTAATACTAAGCTAGAGTTATCTGAAGGGAGGGAAATTAAATTAAGAAAAACGCCTCCATAAGATCCAGTTGTAAGGCATTTTCTTAATTATTGATTGATTGCGGATGGCCTAGCCCGGTGTGGTTGGTGCCATTCATGGACTGGTGGTCCTGAATTCTATAAGAAACAGGTTGAGCAAGTCAGTAAGCAGCACCCCTCCACAGCCTCTGCATCAGCTCCCGTCTCCAGGTTTCTGCCATGTTTGAGTTCCTTTCCTTATACTTCCACGTTGCGGTTCATCATAGAAAACAGTAAGCCAAATAAACCTTTTCTTCTCCTGCTTGCCTATTGGTCATAGTGTTTCCTTGCAGCAACAGCAACCCTAACTACGACATCCTGTTTTTCCTTTTGTCTTATGTGTTTGGTCATGATCCATGCAGTCAAAAAGCTTGAGAAAATATTTCAAATAATAATTTAAATAAATAAATTATTTATTTAATGTCTGATTATAATACTGCTTAATACTTTTAAAATAGCAATATTTTTTTAAATTACCTGTAGAACTTTCACTGAAAGGACATTAATTTTTCTATTTTATTTTCTTTAATTCTCTGGTTTAATTTTACATCAGAAGTATTTCTGTCATCTTTGGCTTTTCTTAAAGTTATCTACATTGAAGCTATAACTTTATAAAATTACTCTAACAATTGAGGCAAAGTATTCTGATATGTTAGGCATATACAGTTTCCACGTTATACATTTATCTGTATTATTGAATTTACCGTGCATGAATATTCTTCTCTTGGTCATTTTCTGTCATAACCAAAGATCCGAGTTTTTCTTTGAAGTAAATGAATGTGTTCACTAAGCTTGTGATAATGAGAAGGTCACCTCGACCCAGAGAAGAGCTATGAATCTTCAAGAAATTAGCAATGCCGGGATGCCGAAGCAGCTGACAGTTCATTTCTGAACTATTTGATCAGAGATACATTTTGGGTATATGGTTGACTTTTGGAAAAATTTAGAAGCATTTAAAACCAGAAAATGCAGAGCATTCTCAGCCGTTACACTCCCTGCCCGCTGACATGCAACTTGTTTGCAGTTCTTTGCTATTACCTTGGTTTTCTGCTCTTTGGCAAAGTGAAGACACAGGTGGACATGATGACAGTACCGAATGCTATTGTTTAGGGAAATGACGTGATCTGAGCAAAAGTATCCTACACTCCAAAAAGAATAAAAGGTTTGCAACAACTGTTCAGTCCTTATGAAGATTAATAATCAAACAAAGCCAAGTAAGTAATTGGGAGGAAATCTAATTAAAGGTGAGCAATTAAATTTAAAAGTGAGGCAACAGCTCTTGGTGTCCTCCCAGCTTAACCCCCTTCTTCAAACCCTCATAACCCTCCTTTCTAGCTCAGCCTCATTCCTTCATGTCAGCCATTGATAGCTAGGAACCCCTGCTTCCTAGAGACCCCAGTGGACAACACTGGGCTGAGACTCAGGTTGGTGATTCTCACAATTGCTCCTGTACACCATCAGCCTTTCTCCAGTCTCACCTTGAGTTCCGCAGCAGCCCGCTTGCAGGTGCCCTTCCTCTCACTATCCATCCTTTCCCCTGGAGACACCAGCTCCTACTTGGGATGGAGCTTAGCTCTTCCTTGCAGAACCACTCAGCACTCCCTCTTTGCCCATCTCCATTCCTCTGTGTCAGCTGTCAATACCTAGCAACCATTTTCTCAGGCCCCTGGTGGCCACACCAGACTGGGACTCAGGTAGATGATCCTCACTATCCTTCCTCTCCATCCATTATGATCTTTCCTGTTTCACCCTCAGCCCCGTTGGAGCCTGCTCACGG